AGTTGTTATTCCACTTTTATACATTAGTTTCATTGGCCTAGCTAAAATGAGTTTGTCCTGGAAAGATATCATGTGTATGTATATGCACAGAACGAAAAGATACAAAAGGAATTGGTAATATTGGCTGCCTCTCAGAAGAACTGGGTGGCTGGAGGGCAGGTGTGGGAGGGGACTTTTTACTCATGCCCTTCCCTACCATTTTAATTTTAAGCATATGTTCATGGTTTCTACATACCTAAAATAATTTTTATTTTTAAATTAATGGAAATGGAGGAACAGAATCTAATGATAGGAAAGAAGAATTTACAGAACTTGAATACTGAATGAACATGAGAGGAGAGGATGAGGGTAAAAAAGATGATGCCAATGTTCTGGGTCTGTGCAGTTAAGTGAATAATGGTGGGATGAATAAAAATGCAGAGGTTGGCAGGAGGTTCTGATGATGGGAGAAGGGAAAATAACAGTAAACGAATACTGAAATTATTATCTAGTTCAAAAAAACCCCAAGTAGTCATTTGTCGTTAGTATCATGACTAATTTACCCCATCCAGGGTTTTTATTTTCATGAGCTGATCCATATAAGGACTTTATTTTTTGGCAAGGAGATGAGAGAAATTTGTGACTGGAGACAGAAAAGAGCAAATGATACCTGGGTTTTGTAGTGCTTTTCTGAGCTCTAAAGGAGCAGATTTACAGCAAATGAAGAAAATACTTTCATTAGGGGTTTTGTAAAGCTCGAAGTACACATGGTCATTTTGGTATCCATAAGTCTGAAGCTTTATGGCATCTATTAGGAAAACACTCCCATGGGGTTGAATGTTCCCAGCAATGGCATGCCAGAGCACCAGTGATGGCAGCAACTGCTCAGACACAATGAATGCACAAAGTGGCACCCAAAGAGGCACGTTCCTGAACACTAGAAATACCTAAAGATTACCAGAAATAACTGGGAGGGGGTGTTTTATAGGCGATGAAGGATTGTGGACTGGAGAAATATAAGAATTAATGAAGCTGTGAATTCTTTCATACTATAGGCTGTGCTTACATTGTGTGCCTGGTGCTATGCTAGGCACTAGATAAAAAGACATGGTTTTGGTTACCAAGGAACCCACAGTCTTGTTACCAGGGCAAATGTAGAAAAGCAAATAATGATAGCACCTCCTAGAACATTTTAACATTTCAATTTTAAAAATTGAAATTTTTTTTATCAGAGTTTGAAAAAGTTCATTAAACGTTGTTGGGTTGGTTATATCCAATTCCCTTCCCTCCCTATTTTAGAAAGAAACTAAATGAAGCCCATCCACAGAGGTTATTTTTCCAAAATCACACAGGTGGTTAGAAGCTGTCCTAATAAAATAGCTAAATGTTCTGCAAGAAATTATAATAAACCTACACTCTTAACAAAAGACTGGGCATCTAAGTTTGCACCTGCTTAGGCTTTATGCTCCTGTCCCAGACTTTTATAACAGATTATATGAATACCAGTTAGCAAAACTAACTGAAAAGAAGTGAAGATAAAAGAATGGTAATATTAATACTACTTGGTGACTTGTTAGAAAACAGCCCTGGCAAATAAGCTTTAGGGCTTACTTTATTCTGGGATAATAACTTATTAAGGATGTAATACATAATCAAGGAAATCCAGTTTAAAAGTATAAATATTTTTCATGAGCTCTAACAAAGCCTTCAAATTCCTGCATCGTTCAATCCCTGCACCAGCCAGCTGCAAAAAACAAAAAACCCCCTGCATCTATTTACATTTTCTATATCTCTGCTAAATAATTTTGATAAACCTGTTTTGCAAAAAATGCCTTAAAACCGATATACCATTGTCTAAATCAAAAACACACAGATCCTCTTCTCAGTTACAGTATTTTTGAATTTGTACATAAATATTCTACTAGTTAGGCTGAAGGGAAAAAAATGCTAATAACACTTTTTTTCAGCCCTGAAATTCTCTTTGCATTTGTTTTTAAAATGCTGAATCATGAAATAAAGAACAATGCAAAGAACCAAACAAGTAGTTAATCTCATATTTCAAACTTCCTAATTATGGTATCTTGGTCTTGCTAAGGACTTAAAACTAAATAACTGAAGAGTCTAAGTAATTAGAAGAGTACAGCTCGTTCTCAAACTGTGAACTCCAGGATAAGACTAAAAGCATTCATTTCTACAAGTTATTAAACTTTTGACTTCCTATTTTATTTAGACAGCTCATCATGACCATTTCAGGTAATGATGCAGAAGTTAAAAAGCTCAACTTCCTCCTTATAAAGTGATAAAAATTTCAGCAGTTAGTTATGAGAATGGATGATTTTACCAGCTTTTATAGAAATACTTGTAAGGAAATCAGAGACTATTATCACCAAATTTACCTAAGGGTTTATTGCTTTTAGAAAACCTAACAAAGACAAAAAGCAATATTAAAATATTTTTGGCAACAAAAGTATGCTAGAAGAGGAAACTGGTCACAGATCTGCTGTTACAAAACCAAGACTATTAATGTTATTAATTAAAACACTGTCAATATGCAAAGAAATCTTAACTGGCACTCTGAAATCTATATACATATTTTCCCAAATTTAATTAAAAAGGCATTCTAACCTCGTGTCAAAAACAAAAATCCAACAACACTGGTAAACGTGTATATCACTTGGGCACCATAAACTTCAAAGTTTATCATCCCAATTCTTTGTGAAATTCTGTTGTAACAATATTTTTGCTTAAAATAAATGGACCATCAGTCAGACTAACAAATGTTTTATTATCCCAGGATTTACACTGTCCTGTAATCTAATTTCATCTGAATCGTAACTATTTGCCTTAGAAAAAACATTTTATTATAGTTTTCTTTTCAGCAGAAGTTCATATATAAGATGTCTTTGTTTTTCTCTAAATCTTAAACATTTATGAGAATCAATTTCCAAATAAGAGAAAATATAATGTTAAAGAGTTGTTCAATGGCTTGTAAGTGTTGAGCACATTCTTCGGCATTTCAAAATGGCATGCCATATGTAGGTATGATATAACAAACTATTCTACAGAAGACCCTGGATCATAAACAGTCCCCTTCCCCACCCCAATATCTTTCATTAAGAAAGAAAAAGTCCAGATTTACAGAGCACTCAAGAGTGCACATTTTGTAATAACCACCGTGAGAAACAAAAGACATTAATTCTTATCATTTAACAAGTTATCTAGTGAGGTCATTCTAACTTCTACAGTCCCTAAAAGTCACATAATTTACAAAAAACCTGAAAACCTATTAAGAAAGGTGTGCAGTTGTCAGAAAAAAAGCTATTCCACGCAATTTAGAATACGCTCTTGTATTTAAGACACTTTTCCAGAAATAAGTTCACAAATTGCACCCTGACAAATCCAACTACAATCAGACACCACAGTGAAGCATCACAGAAGGCAGGATGCTTCGTCCACAACAGAATTTGTTAACATGAGGTTTATGTGCTACATAAAATCTTTCTGAAGTTTAAAAAAATCTACTGGTTATTCTTGATTTGTTAACAAGGAACCGAAAACTATTTTTCAAGAAATCACGGTTTAGAGGTTGTAAGACCGCGGGGACCGTATGTACCTACAATCAAGGGAGTGTCTACAGGGAAAAGAGTGGTGTTCGAATAATGAAGCGAATGCCCTGAGGCTTACAGATTTATCATAGCGAATTAGTCCAGCCGATCGTACGTGAGAAAAGAAGTGGATGTTTAGTGGGCTGGACACCACTTGAGGACCTCCCTATCGAGGAGTCGTGACAGCAAAATCACTTCCTGAGGAAGGAGGAGCAAGAGGGAAGTTAAGAGGCTACCCTGAGCAGGAAGTGACTCGCCCTAACCTAGCCCTAATCATATCTAAAACGGGGGAGGGGGTGGGGTGAGCCCCAACAGCTAAAAGCGGTCAAGTAACTGCTTCTTGATACGTCGCGACATCACTATTGCCCCCTTTCATAATTACAGAAAAGAGTCCAGTCAGGATTCATTAAAGTCTCTTCTGCAGGAAGGCCACTGGGCTGTGTCTACAGCCCGGAGGAAAAGAAGAGAGTTGAGGAATGGGGAACTGGGGCCACCGTGAGGCAGAGGAAAGCCCACTAAGAGGGAAGCGTCCGGACTGCGGAGAGCGAATGCCACCGAGAGCCAACAAGCTTCTTTTTCCTAGGGACACTGCCACGCTTCCTACCGCAGCCAGGTCGGGCCCCTGTTCCCTACCGAGGGAGGAGGTCGGAGAGAGAGGCGGACCCCTTACCTTCTCCTCATCCGACACACGATCCTCGAAGTCGGCCATCTTGGGCTGCTCTGGCCCAGCCCGGCCGCGGGCGCGAGGCAGGCCGGGAAGGAAGCCGAGTGATGGAATCACCGTGGGGGCAGTCAGAATGACCCGCCCGGAAACGCCGGCAGAGGGGGCGCCATGTCAGTTACGCGCGAGGGTGACGGCGCCCGCAGCCAGCGCACCAGGAAGTTGGCTTTGCCTTCAGTGACTTGAAGTCTAGTGTCTTTCTCTCTGAGTTACATTCGTTTCCCCTTTCATCTGTTGCACGCTTGCCAGCGTGTTTCGACTGCTCTTGGCGCCTAGGCTCCATCCTACAAAATAGCAGTTGCTACTCCTATAAGTTTTCATGGTACCAGTGATCTCCATGGCAGCCGAGTCCAAAGCGCTCAGAGCAGCTCGGCCTCTGGAAGGATCGGTGGCTTTTCCAACCCCGGGAATGAGGTGAAAGGTGACCCTCATCTCGTATGGAAGCAAAAACACTTCATTCCGAGGTCACATCTCAGTCCAGTTCCTCCAGAATAGGTGCCGCTATCCGCTCTCTTCCCCGCCACCCTAAGGAATTGGTAGTCCCAATCTTGGGACACACTCAACCTTCCAAATCTCTTTCCCCGTTCCCCAGGACTCAGTCTTCACAGGGGACAACTCCAGGTCCGCCACTATCCCAGGATTCCCGAGTCCCGGTTTCCTGCCTTTCTCCCCTCCCAGCTCCTGGCGCTTGTGAGAGTGGCAAGATGGCGGACTGCGGTGGCTTAGGTGGAGCGGAGACTGCTGCGGCTTCTCCTCCTGCACCCGCTCCCGAACTGAGCCCGCCGCTGGGCTGGAGGGAGCGGCTCCGGGCCGGGCTGGCGGGGACTGGGGCTTCGTTGTGGTTCGTGGCGGGGCTGGGGCTGCTTTACGCTCTGAGGGTCCCGCTGAGGCTGTGTGAGAACTTGGCAGCGGGTGAGAGCCCCAGATCTCCCGGTGACGGGCGGGGGGCCAGGAAACGTGCAGGGGGCAAGGGGGGACAGGGCAGAGATTCTCAGTAGTCATAAAGGTCTTGGGAGAAGGAGTCGGTGCTGCGCGACCAAGTGTATTCTTTCTCTCTTGGGCCGCAACCCCGCAGCTGATTGTCAAACCCGAGGTGCAGCTACTGTTTCCTCCTTAAGCTCTTAAGATCCGCCCTCTCACTTGTGTCCTTGTTTACCCGAGGAAAAGCCACCTGACAGGCCGTAAGCTTCAGGTGGTAGGACTGAAGAGAGCATTCTCAGACTGAATGTAGCACTTATATACACCCCCATCATGAGTATTATCCGTTGAGAATCATTCCTTTTGAGTCTCCTGCCGCCCCGGCTGAGAGAACCCACACCCAGACAACAAAGATGTGCACATCTGTGATTCAAAGATCTCAAAGAAACAAAATGCCATGATCTTAGTCGACCATTCTCGTGTTTTAAAATAGGTCTGTTAAACAGTTTTGTGATATTTTTGTCTGTTCTCTTAGACTTTATCTTTAGTAATAGAACAGTACAGGAAGTAAAGGGAGAGAGAGTGCGCCACGAAGAGCAGGGGGTTTGTTCGTTAGTTCGTTCAACATTTGTAGAGCACTTGCTATGTAGTCTGGGCTGAAGATACAAAGACGTGTAAGAAGTGATGATCCCCATGGATTTTCCAAATACTATTCTTTAGCTGTAGACAGGACGAAGTGGATGGGGCCCAGGGCCACTTACCATGTCACTGTAATAATTTACTCAAGCTCTGAGCAGCAACCTCAGGACAACATGGAAGTATTTCTGTGTGATGACTTTGACAATCAGGACCGTGGTTTATTTTTTCTGTAGCAAAAGAACACAAATGTCCCCTTTTCTGTCCCATAAGATGACGTGAAAGACTGTGAAATAATGTCCTGAAATATTTTGGATTTTTTAGGAGATAAGTACGATGTAAATTCAAATATAACTAACACACTAAAACAAGCCAGACTGAAGAGCTAATTTGGCTTTTATAACAGGTGAATGAAGTGCTTAATGGTTTGTCTGATCTGTGAAATGTTATTCATTGATTTATTCTTTATTTTTCTACATGTTAACTAGATACACCATTTAGATGAGAGTAATTGACTATTACAGATTTTTATTTCTTTCTAAAATCCAAAGTATTTATGAGACAATTATTTGAAGTGAAGATTCTGATCCCAGGATTTCAGTAAGTCAGGTGCATAGAGTTCAGTTTGTTGCTTTTCTCTTTGAGCTTATTTTTGCCTCTCTGGCCACATACCCAAAACATACACTATGTTTCCTTCCCTCTAATTTGAAACACTAGTTTGTGTTTCACCAAAATAATTAGGGAATGGTTTTAAACGTCTCTTGTTTTTTGTTTGTTTGTTTGCTGGCCAGTACAGAGACGAACACCTGACAGCCCTTGGTGTTATCACCATGGTCTAACCAACTGAATTAACCAGCCTTAACCTCCTTTGTAAAAGAATGTTTGTTCAGCTTCCTATCCTTATAGATTTGTAAAAGTTCTTGTCTAAATTGACTTATAAGTGCTTTAGTTTTATTCTCAAAGGCAAGGTAAATGATCTCATTTTGATTTGCTTCTTAACTAATCAACAGTGTAAAATCCTACCTTGACATGTGTGAATGCATTTTTAAGACATGAAACAATAGGAATTTAAAGTAGCTTTTTAAAAATTACAACTTTCTCAAATGAATTTTATACTTAATATTAATACTACTTATATCCCTGCACTTGTAAACATACATACATATTTGCAATTTAAGTGCTTTAAATTTGCATTTTTTAAACTTTGATTTTTTTTTTTTTTTTTGACAGTGACAGTATTTTTAAATTCATTGACTCCGAAATTCTATGTGGCACTTACAGGGACATCTTCTTTGATATCAGGACTAATATTTGTAAGTAGTTGCCATTTTCACTCATGTTTTGGTATTTGTCTAAAGATCCTTTACATGGTGACAGTAAATATACTTAAAGACCAGCATTTCCAAAATGTGTTCAGTATTTGAAAAAAGAGTTACCTATTTAAACAAGTTTGGGGAACACTGCATCTCCCTCTCCACTTGTAGAGATTATCAGTATTTATTTGCATATTAAAGGGTTATTGTATATTGTAATGGTGGATGTAGTGGGGGAAAGAGGGTGGTTGAAAATTAAATGCCTGTAGGGCCCAGGTTGGTAACAAAAATGAGTGAAATGGGCAGGATGTAAGTATTAAGTTTCTTATTTACTTTGGGAACTGGGTAATCTGGTCAGCACATGCCCCTTCTAAAAGGGGCTAAAGCTAATTGTTAACATGTAGGCTTGCTGCTTGTATTACCAGATCTTCTAATTTTTCAGATGATTTCAAGAGAAACTGGATATGCATGCAGATTTTATATAAAATCTCCCAATATTTTAATGTTGGCAACATTGGGCAGAGTAAAATTTATGTGTCTTGAATTCAGCCTATAGTTTTTCCCAGCCCCCATTTCTTCATCTGTAGACTGGGGATAATAATTGGGTCCACTTCATGAAATTATGAGAACTAATAATGAGTATAAAAGCTTGTAACATGATAGCTGGCTCAAAGTGAGGAAAGAAATTGGTTTAACTTTCATTTTTAATTTAACTTCTCCTTGAACAAGATATCATTTTTCATTAAAACTTTTTTTTACAACTTTTATTACCTCATTAACATCCTTAGGATCTAGTGTTTCCTAGTGTATGAGTAAATAAGGAATTTAATTCTTACACTCTGTGCATTTCACTCGTTTTTGTTACCAACCTGAGCCGTGCAGACATTTAATTTAGTATTTCCTCCAACACTTTGGAAAATACTACTGCAGGTGAAAATCTTAATAAGTATTATGCTATGCGTGGCCAATGGATTTTTCTGTTCTTTCTTCTCATCTCTAGGTGGTGCTCTCCAGCTATAATAGAAATAATAGCATTTGTATTGACCGTTTTTTAAAAAATAGGGAATAACACTGACCATTTTGTTAAAGTGAAATGTCGGGCAAGAAAGGAATTTTTCTCTTGATTTAAAAAAACTATGGAGGAATTCAGGATAAAAACTGTGTTACAAGCCTCACAATTTATTTAGTTATAAAGCCCACTCACTCATAGTTAAGCATATTTTAGTGTTAGTCCATTAGTCAATAGCATACAAAAGTCTAAATAAAGAAAATAAATTATCTTTAAACAGCTGATTTTGTTAGTAGGAGAAGCATTGGTTTTGGAACCAGAAGATATGATTTTGAGTCTGAACTCTGCTACTTACTAGCTGATATCTTTGGACAAGTTACATAAACAGTCTAAATCATAATTTCCTCATTTATATCATCTATAATTCCTTCTTATATGATATATATGATATACATATTACACAGACACGCACACACACACACATGTCTAAAGTACTTTATTTTATTTTATTTTTGGGGGGCGGCTGGTACTGTGATCTGAACTCTTGACCTTGGTGTTATAATACCGCACTCTAACCAACTAAGCTAATTGGCCAGCCCTAAAACCATTTTATAAATTTGTTATTCTTTTTAAAACAGGCTTTTAAATATACAAAAAATAGGAAATTCAAGTAACATTTTAAAGGTTAAACTGTGTCTTTACCTTTGCAGTGTTGATAGGTTTTTATTAGCAAAGGTTGTTGTGTTTATAAAATTTCTTTTACCACCTGGATTTATTGAACTTGTACACACATATACATACACTCACATATACATTGGGGTATATTTGGGAAACAGTCTAGTGTAATGGTTAGAAGTTCTGAAGTCAGTCACACCTGAATAAGAATTCCAGCTCTGCCACTTACCAGTGGTGTGAATTAGAGCAAGTGATTTAAACTTGGAATGTATGTCCTCATCTCTAAAATCAGTTGTGGTGAAGATTAAATGACATAGTGCATATAAACGACTTGTACAATGTTTGGCTTATAGAAAGCTTTTGATAAGTATTAGCAATTATTATCAATGTTCATTTGTGTTAAAAGTTGACTTAAAAGTTGAAAAAGGCTTTAACTTCATATTCATTCATAAAAAGCCACCTATACTTCATATAGTGAAGGGCAGTTTGTTATTGGTGCCTTTGTGATAACTGTGTCCTTGACAATACTTATCCAATTTTTTAATCTAAGATTTATCCAATATAAATTTTTATCCAATATAAATTTCTGTCACATGAACAATTTTTGCTTGTGTAATTTCTTCTGGTTGTTTTAAAGAAGTTTCATTTGATTTCTTAGTAAAATATATGGTAGAAGCCAAACTGTAGCCTCATTTGGTGGTGATTAACTACTTGCTAACTCAATAAGAGTGAGCAGAAAGAGAATCTGTTTTAGACTGAGCATGAAACATTTGTGGCATGATAGAAAAAAATGCTTTACCTTGATTTTGTAGCACTTTCCTGTAAATGTGGTAGCATTTAGTCAATGGGCCACAATATAGTGCAAAATGACTATATAATTTTGGCACCTATTTAACATTTGTTCTATTATTTACTGAAGCAAAAAATAACATTCCTAGAGGTTTGAAAACTGATTTTTTGTGCGTCATTTGCTCTGTTGTAGTAAAATCGTTTTAACAAATATTATAATCTCTTAGGTAGTTGTGGATATATTTGTTTATTCTTTAAGTAATACATTTGTCTACTACATTTGGCAGAAGACTAGTCTGTCAGTTGACTTTTTTTTTGTTTTTTGGTTTTTTTGGTGGTTGGCCCTTATGAGGAACCGAACCCTTGACCTTGGTCTTACAAGGCCAGGCCATACTCTAACCAACTGAGCTAACCTGGCCAGCCTTTGTCAGTGGACTTTTTAAGGGAAATGATCTATAAACAAGAGGAGGAAGATAATAAGTAATTTTACAGTCAAAACAGAAAACTACTTAAAATTGTTCAAGTGAACAATTTTAAAATGAAAGTCTGCGATTTATTCATTCAACAAATATTTATAGAGAGCCTTTTATGTGTCAGATATTGTTCTAGATGTTTATGATACATGGTAAGCAGACAAACACAGATTCTGGCCTCTAAGAATTTAGCATAGAAGGTGATTATGGGCATTGATTCATTCATTTGACAATGTTTTATTGAGTGCTTACTGGGTGTCATACTCTTTCTAGGTACTGGGCTTATAGCAGTGAACAAAACAAAAGAAAACAAAAATCCCTGTCCTTATGGAGTTTACATTATAGTAGGGGATAGATAAAATAATAAAAGATAAATAAGTAAAACAACTTGTGTGTTCTTATTGTTAGTGATAAGTGCTAAGGAAAGAAAATGAAGAAGGGCAGAGAAGGGCATATAAAGTGTCAGAGTAAAAGGTTGAAATTTTAGCCAGGGTCGCGAGGGAAGGTCTAACTGAAATGGTGATTCTTTTAGTAAGACCTGAAGGAAATGAGGAAACTAGCTGTGCTGCAAGTGTTACTTCTACTTGAAGTGGGAGTGTGCTTGGGGGCCTGAGGAATAGCAATAGTTATTACAAGTGAAAAGATGACTCTGAAAGGTAAACACAAGATCCAATGGAAATGCATAATGCAGCTACCTGTTCTGTTCTGTGGAATCAGGAAAAGTTGCCTGAGGAAGTGTCATTTAAGCTGAAACACAAAGGAACCAGGCAAAGGGAATTGGGAAGGTTGGAGTGTCCAAATACGAAAATTTCTGCTAATTCAGCACAGAGAGCTTCTTTTGGTTCCACTTTTTGTAACAGTGATAAACCATGGAAACAGAAGGATGTGAATACCCTGATTTTTAATTGGTTCAATATGGGAATCAACCTCACTCTTTTTTTTTTTTCCAACCTGACTCTTAACCTACATTAATAATATTGCCAAATATTGGAGTAGTACTTTTTGGTTCAGAAAGCACTTTCTTATAATTCTTGTTAACTACACTTGATAGGTGAGGACACTGAGGGCTTGAGATATTAGAGATTAAGTGACTTGCCCAAAGCACACATTTAATAAACTTGCTTATTTGAGAGTCAAACATGGGCACTTTGCTCATTGTTTTAAAACTGTTTTTATTATGCAAAGATAGAATAAAATGATGATGTAACATAACAGCGTTAAATTATTTACAGATTAAACACTTACTATTTTTTAGTGCTTTATTACAAATGCATAGTTTTTTCTAAGCTTGTCTAGATTTCATGACAGAACTATAAAAAAGGTATTTCACCTTTACGTGGCATCTGTTAATGGGGAATCTTGTGTTTGGGTGTGGGGGAGGAAGGGGCATTTAAAATGCTGAATTGAAAAGGAATATCTTGAGAAAATGTTTTAATTTGAGCTCTTATATCTGCTGATTAATTCTATTTTAAGTGAAGGATGTTTTCTGTTTGTCATAGATTTTTGAATGGTGGTACTTCCATAAGCACGGCACATCTTTTATTGAGCAAGTATCTGTAAACCATTTGCGACCACTGATGGGAGGAACAGAGAGCAGCATTTCAGAGCTAGGTTCTCCTTCCAGGAACAGAGAAAGTGAAACCAGCAGACAGAATTTGTCAGGTGACTTCTTTTCTTAATGTGTTTTCAGAGCTGTGAAGTTAAGTTTGAGTTTGGCTGTGTGAGATAGAAAACTTGAAACAACAGAGCACTGTGGTTTGAATGTTTGTGTGTCCCACCTCCGCCAAATTCATATGTTGAAATCTAATTACTAATATGATGGTTTTAGGAAGTGGGGCCTTCGGGGCCTAATTAGGTTATGAGGGCAGACCCCTCATGAATGGGATTAGCACCCTTATAAAAGAGACTCCAGAGAGCTGCTTGCCCCTTCTACCATGTGAGAAAGCAGCAAGAAGGCGCCATCTATACACCATAAAGCAGGCCCTCATCAGACACTGAATCTGCCTGCACCTTGATCATGGTCTTCCTAGCCTCCAGTGCTATGAGAAATAAATTTCTATTGTTATATAAACTGTCCAGTTTATGGTATTTTGTTATAGCAGTGCAAATGGACTAAGACACAGAGAGAAGTTTGTCTTTCACGTAAATATAGGTTAATCCATGGCTGGTATAGAGAGTAATGATCATCAGAGACCCAGACCCCTTCTATTTTGTTAGCCTGCCATCTCTAAATGCAGTGTTTACCTTTGTAGTCCAAGACAGTTGCCCTGGCTTCAGCCATCATATCCACATTCCAATGAGCAGGAAGGAGAAAAAGCCAGGAGGACATTCCTTCCCCCTTACCCCACCCCATGGCAGCGAAGGACATTTCCCAGAAGTGTTGCATACTTTTTCAACTCACTTCCCACTGGTCAGACCTTTGCCAAATGGCCACTACTAGCCATAAGGGAAGCTAAAAATTGTAATCATTTTCTCAGCGTGTGTGTGCTTGCATGTTATAGCCAGTAAACTAGGGGATCTTATAATATATCTCATAAATATATGTGATATGATATTTATGGCTAGTAAATAATCAGGGGATCTTATTACTTATAAAGGAGAGATCAGAGATAACTAGCCATCTCTGCCAAGAGAGCAAAATAGAAAAAAATACCTTTTCTTTTCAAAATACTTACAAAAGCGTCAAAATCTCAATTCTTTATCTATGGATATTCCATTGTCATACTTTACTTGAAGACTCTTCCTCTATATGTATCCAGTAATAGAAAGTAAATATTGATAATGATATGTAATTAGGAAAGCAAAATTTTCAAAGCCAAATATTAATGATATTTTGGATTATTGTTCCTTTCATTTGGTATAGGTAATAATCATGCAATAATAATACAAATGAGTTAATTCCATAAGATTCCCATAATGTCTCATTTGTTCAATAAACCTAACTACTAGAGTTATGTTAGTTTAGTAGAAAAATATGACCTAAATGCAATTGCTGGCACTTTTTAGATATGACCAGGCAAAGTCCCTGAGGAAGTACTATTTAAGTGGAATCCTGAAGAATGACCAGGAATAGTAGGGGTGGGGTTGGCAGTCATTCAAGAGTACAGGAAGGAATAATGGTAATTTTCTTCTCCCTTCTTTTTCCCCTTTCATAATATTATTAAAAAGCTCCTAAGAACAAGACATACTATGATAAATAAGACACAGGTCTGTCCTCAAGAAGCTCAGAGTTCAATATACAAATAATTATAACAATAATGTATTGCATGATTTTACTTCCTATTGTAAGACCGAATATACCATTCATATGAGAGTGAAGATTACCTTATGAATATTCCAGCTTGAGGCTGGGTGTTTAGCTCACTTGGTTAGAGTGTGGTGCTATGCTGATAACACCAAGGTCAAGGGTTCTATCCTTATACTGGCCAGCCACCAAAAAAACAAAAACATTCCAGCTTGGTAGAGGATGTAGACATTTAAGTAAGTTGACAGCAGAATGGTTTGCTACTGTATAAGATATTATGGTGACAGAAAAGAAAGAGTGGAAAGTTATTCTTGGAAGGAGAGCCATAAGATGTTTCACAGAGGAAATGCTTGATTTGAACCTCAAAAGTGAGTCAGAGTCTACTTTTGTTCAACTTTTTTCCCTGAATAACTTGATCTCATTCTATAATATTACCACTCATAAACATATATGATTTTTTTTCATTCCCCCTCAAAAATTATATTGACTCATCCTACCTTCTTTTATTTCATCATTTATTGCCCCATATCTAGGCCCTTAACATCTCTTTCCTAGACTATTGCAGTGATGTCCTAACTGGTTTCCCTTCCTCTGATACTTTTCCTTCTATTACATTCTCTCCTTATTATGTAAAAAAGTGGTTCTCAAAAATTTTTTTCTTTTTTCTTTTTTTTTTTTTTTGCAGCTGGCTGGTATGGGGTATGAACTCTTGACCTTGGTGTTGAATACCAAAGTATTTGAACTCAGGAATACTTTACATTCTTAAAAATTATTGAGGACCTCAAAGAGCCTTTGTTTATGTATGGATTACATTCATCAATATTTATCATCTTAGAACTTAAAGAGAAAAGAATGTAAAATATTTATTATTTTTAAAATAACAATAAACCCATTACATTTAAACATATTGCTATAGACAAAATTGTGTCTCCTAGAATCCATATGTTGAAACTCTAACCTCCAATGTAACTGGAGATAGGACTTTTAGGAGTTAATTAAGTTTAAATGATGTCATAAGGGTAAGTCATAATCTGAAAGGATTGGTGGCTTTATAAGAAGAGGAAGAGAGAGATCACTTTCTTTCTTTGTCATGTGAGGATGCAGCGATAAGGCTGCCATCTGCAAGCCAGGAAGAGAACCCTCACCAGAACCCAACCATGCTAGTACTTTGATCTTGGACTTCCAAGCTCAAGACTGTGAGAAAGTAAATTTCTGTTGTTTAAATCGCCAAGTGTATGATATTTTGTGCTGCTGTAACAAATATCTAAATATGTGGAGAAGTGGCTTTAATGGATAGAGGCTGGAAGAGTTTTTAAGTGCATGTTAGAAATGTGGACATTAAGGGCAACTTTGGTGAGGTCTGAAACGGAAATGAGAAACATGTTATTGGAAAGTGGAAGAAAGGTGATCCTTGTTATGAAGTGGAAAAGAACTTGGCTGAACTGTGTTGTAACATTTTTGGAAGGTTGAACTTGACAGCACTGAAATTTATCAGGAGATTTCTTTTTTTCTTTTCTCTTTTTAAAAATTTATTTATTTATCTATCTATCTATCTATCTATCTATCTATCTATCTATCTATCTATCTAATCTATCTATCTGAAGAGATTTCGAAGCAAAGTGTTGAAGGAGCAACTTGGTTCCTCCTGACTGCTTATAGTGAAATGTGAAAGGAGAGAAATGAATCGAAGGAGAAACTGATAAGCAAAAAGGAACTAGAATCTGAAAATTTGGAAAATTCTAAGCCTATTCATATTGTAAAAAATGAGAAAACTTATTCTGAAGAGAACACTAAGGGTGTGGCCAAACAACTGTTGGAGGTCATTTGTGCAACTCATGCACTTAATCAGCCATATAAGCAGAAGCCAGGAGAAGACATGGGTTTCTGCCAGCAAAGACACGGCCAGTTTGAACTAAAAGGGACAGAGAAAGAAGAAAAGAATAAAGGAAGACTGTTGGACTTCTTGGATTGTACAGGACCAAACCGTAGAACTATTCAGCTGTAAATGTGTACTGATCTCAAATAAAGGGAAGAATAAGTGACCAGAGGCCTGCCACTCTCAGCATAGACCCAGGAGGCAAGGCTGTTTTCTCTTTGGTTTCAAAGGGTGGGGCTACCTTTGTAGTATCTGGGGCTTAGGATGACTCTGCCCAGTGCCTCATAAGCTGAGCCATCCTCACAAAGAGCCACATGGCAGAGTATGAGAAATATCCTCAAGTTTAAGGTCTAATGGAATTTGCCTTGCTGGGTTTTGGTCTTGCGTGGGACCATCACCCCTTCCTTCTTTCCGATTTCGGCATGGAAATGTCTATCCTATGCCTGTTCACTATTTGTAAACTGGAAGCACATAATTTGTGTGTTTTCATATGTTCACATCTGGAGAGGAATATAGTCTAAAGATGAATTGCACCTTGAGTCTCACCCATATTTGATTCCAATAATATTTAGATGAGACTTTGGACTTTAGGTTTTAGAGTTGATGATGAAATGAGTTAAGACTTTTTGGGGCTGTTGGGATAGAATTAATGTATTTGTTATAAAAGAAGGACATTTGAATGCTATGGACTGAATTATGTCCCCCAAATTCACATTTTGAATCCCTAATTTCCCATGTGACTGTATTGGAGATATGGCCTTTAAGGAGGTGATTAAAGTTGAATAAGAGTGGAACCCTTATCTGATAGAACAGATGCCATTATAAGAAGAGGAAGAACCACCAGAGCTCTCTTTCTGCCGTGTAAGAACACAGTGAGAAGACAGCCATTTGCTAGCCAGAACTCAATCATGCTGGCACCCTGATCTCAGACTTCTAGCTTCCAGAACTGTGAGAAAATGTATTCTGTTGTTTATGCCATGCAGTCTATGGTATTTTGTTATAGCAGTCCAAGCTAACTAATATACGTATTATGAAAAATAATTTTATTTCCCAAAATAAGAAAAAGTTTAGTCAGAAGACTGTCATTATTTTACATTTGTTTAAATCTCTTTATTTATTTATTTATTTGTCCTTTTTGAGACCGGCTGCACCACGCTCAGCCAGTGAGCGCTGTGAGTGCACTGGTCATCCCTATATACGATTGAATCTGCGGCGGGAGCGCTGCTGTGCTCCCAGCGCCGCACTTTCCTGAGTGCGCCACGGGCTCCTCCCTGTTTAAATCTCTTTAATGCCTAGCATTTTTAATAGAAGACAGCTTATTCTCCTGTCTGCTTCTGCATCGTTTGTTGTGATAAGTTTTTTTGTTTGTTTTTTTCTTAAAAGATGACCAGTAAGAAAATCTTAACCCTTGACTTGGTGTTGTCAGCACCATGCTCTTCCAAGTGAGCTAACCGGCCATCCCTATATAGGGATCTGAACCCTTGGCCTTGGTGTTATCAGCATCACACTCTCCCAAGTGAACCACGGGCTGGCCCTGTGATAAGCTGTTTTGATTGAAGTATGATGGTACTTCAAAAGGTTCATGGGTTCATGGAAAGATTCGTATTTTCTTTTAATTTTATTTTTCTACAAACATTGAAATAATCTCATTTGTGAAAAAAATCTGGTTTACACAGGTATGTAGTTGGAAAAGGGAGGAGTATTTTAATAGCATTCTCAGAAAATTGTGGATATTTTTTCCATACTACACCAAAACTTTCTGGAAGTTTAGTTGCAGTGTGGAATCTGAACTTGGCATGTTCTGTTGTGTTAAAATCCATTGGTGTATCTTGAATTTTGAGTGGATTTTTTTCTTATGCCTAATTTTACAACATCATGCATTGGTAATTTGGAAAATACTTGTTCACTGAGTTATGTATATCTTAAATGTTGATACATTTTATTGCATAATATTAAAAAAATCACTTTTGTTAATATCACCACCAATCTCATGGATTGTGAGCCAGGCTCACAGTAGCAGATACAGATTTTTCAAAATTCTTAAAATTCTATACACTTGAAAGCTCACATTTTATCATTGGCAGTAAATACTGTTAGTTTTCTTCCTTAAAGTTGACAAACTCACTTTGTTCATTTTTAAGAAAATGTCTGATAGATACCTCTCTGACTAATCATAAGTTTGTCTGTCTGTGGCTCTTTCAAGTAAAAGCACTATTCCACGACAAAAGTGGCCAGTTCAGCTCACAAAACAACTGCTTTTACTGGAGACAATCATTAAACCTGGTATAACATTTAAAATGAATTTGCCTCATTTTTACTGCAAGGATATGGGGGTGAAGAATCCAATGACTGCTAGTACAATTTAGTGTCACTCCCTTGACTCACAGTAAAGTATTAGCAGTTTTACCCACCATTGATTTTTCATCGCCAGTTCAACTTTGTAAGACTAGGGTAAACAAATGAGGAGTCTGGGCCACAAAATTTAAGAAAGCCCTCACTCTCGGGGTCATGCATCTGAGTTCAAGGCAACACAGTTAAAAAGGCAAATAATGTCTTAGAATTTATTATGTAAAGAGTTGTTACTTTGCATTTCCATGAATCATATTTTGAGAATTGCAGATCTAAACACAGCTCTGATATCTGTTATTTTTCTGCTTACAAAACTTTGATGGCTTCTGATTGAGTAAGGATAATATCTAAACTCCTTAATATGGTATATAAGCTCCTTCACCAATTTCCCCCAGTCTATTTTCTGTCCTCGTTTACAGCTCTCCCTCTCACTCCTACTCTGTACTGTAGCCTAACCATGCTGTGTGGTTTTGATACTTCCTCTGCTTGGAGTATTCTTCATCTGGCAACTTTCTACTCATCTTTTACAGTGATTCAATATCAGTTCAAATGTCATCTCCTTTCTGAAGCCTTCCCTGGTTTCCCCAGAGCAAAATTAATCATGTCCTTTTTTTCTCTTGGAACAAAACATACTGCTACTATAGCACTTATCACACAGTTTAGGCCATTGTTTACATGACTAATTCTCATGCTATATTTAATCCAGTTAAACAAGTCAGTTCCAGATGCTGTGTTCATTTTATATTCCAGGAATATAAAAATGAACAAAATTTTAAGAGATCATATTTTAAAGGGGAAACTGAAAACCAGACACATAATCACATTTTACTGTGGGGAGTGCTATAATTGTATTATGAACCAAACTCTATGGAGAAAGAAATAAAGGAATGACTAGATTTAATTCTGTGCTTCTTAAGAGCAGTGGTGATCCACGCTTTATCTTTGTACCATCTGTGGCTAGCACTGTGCTTAGCATATAGTGGGCAGATAACAAATATTGGTTAAATGAACATTTAACTGCATTTGATTAAACTGTCTCATTATCCCCCTTTTCCCCCTTGTTCTTCAGAATGCAAGGTATGGAGAAACCCTCTAAACCTTTTCAGAGGAGCAGAATACAGGAGGTATTCCATTTTTCTTTCAGTATGAATATGGCATTGATCTTAGAGTGAAAGTATTATGGAAACATTTGTTTTTATAAATATATCACAGCTCTTCTAGTTGGAGATACTGATATATAAGTTATCTTTTTTTTTTTAAAAAGATGACCGGTAAGGGGATCTTAACCCTCGACTTGGTGTTGTCAGCACCACGCTCAGCGAGTGAGCGAACCGGCCATCCCTATATGGGATCCGAACCCGTGGCCTTGGTGTTATCAGCACTGCACTCTACCGAGTGAGCCACAGGCCGGCCCCTGATATATAATAAGTTAGAATGATTAGCCCAATGTTTAGTTGAAAACATCTTGACTATGTTTACTTTTATAATGATGAGAAGCATTGCTTCAAACCATATGTTTGTGATACATAATAAGTACGTATTAGGCTCTGGTTTATGGCAGAAAGCCTTTTGCAAAGAATTTGTGAGATTAAGAAAAAAATTATACATGTCAGCATATTCCTTTGCATGTGTGCTCAATTTCAAAATTTATTTGAGGACTCACTGGAAAATATCAATCAATGTGCTCTTCATTTGTGCAAGAGTACAGGGTACAATATTTTCATACTGATTTTATATTGCCATTTCCTATCTACACTATTGTGTCCATTTCTCTTCCAGTTTTTACCATAAATGAGAAAACATCTTTTGAAACTTACAACCAAAGATAAACTTTGCTTTTATTTTGAGGACAACTGTGTTTTATCTGGAGGTAGACAGGGACATGTTATTTAATTTATTGAACGAGAAACATTTTGTATTTACTATGTATGGGCACTGTACAAAATGATGGAGATAGAAAAATGACTAAGCAATAATCCCTGTGCTTAAGCACTTAATAATGTAGGATAATGACATCCTGGGAAGTGAAAGCTAGGCTCTTATGAGAGATGCTATTAGACTGTATTAAGAGATTCTTCAAGAAACAGGTCATTAAACCTCTTACTGTGTTTATTAAAAAGTTACTGAAACTATTCCTTTTTATATTATATAGTGTCTACTTCATGAAAATCTTAAAATTTCTTAGGGTCCGGAATACTGATACTTCTTTTGAATGATTAGTTTGTCTTAATGTAAAAGTCCTTAATTGTATTGATAACCATTGTGTGGTTCTAGAAAGCTTACAGCCACATTGTAGCCAACCTGTAGCAAGTGTATAGAACTGTCTGGTATACATTCTGTATGTTAGCTTCATTCTAGGCTCCATTTTGTGTCCCAATCCTTATTTTCGTTTTATTGAATCTTTTGTTTTACTTCTAATTTATATTATTGATATTGTACATTATATTTTTAACTCCTTTAAGTCATTTTTGGAGTAATGTGGATTGTTAACTTTTTTAATTTTTAGAATGCATAGCAAAACTTTGATAAGTGAACAAGATTTTCATTTTTCTTTTTTCTTCATGATAATTTCTTACAAAACAGCTAAAAACCTTAGCAAGGCAATTTATACTATTAAATAACTAAAAAATAAAACTTACAATGTGTTTTTAAAATGCTTACTTTTTTCTGATTGTAAAAAATTTGCATATTCATTGTAGAAAATTGAAAAATACAGAGATAAAAAATCACCTTTTTTTTACCACTAAGTATTTTAGAGTATTTCCATCCATTTTCTCTTCTCTGTACATATGTAGAAACAAAACTCAAACATCATAATGTATATATAGTTTTACATCCTACTTTTTTCTAACATAATGTTATGTGAATTTTCCACAAAATTTCTTGAAAACATAAATTTCTTCAAAAATGTGATTTTTAATGGTTGTACTGTATTCTGTTATATGGAGATACCATACCTTACCTACATCCCCTTTATCTGGGTCACTAAGATTATTATTTTAGTGTTAACATTTATACTAGAGGGATAAATATTTAGCCACATCTATTGTTATTTCCTTACGGTTGATTTGTAGCAGTGGGAATACTGAATCAAAGGGTATGAACAATTTTTTTCCTTCCCTTTAATCTTTTTTTTAGTTATTACTATGGAAATTTCCAAAAATAAACAAAAGTAGAGAGAATCGTATAATGGAACTACATGTACCCATGCCCCAGCTAGGTGTGACTGTTTTTAAAACTCTTGATAGATATTACCTGATCGATTTCTGGAAAGAGAAATGCAAATACCAATTTACATTTATACCAGCAATATATGTGTGCACATCCCACTTCACCCTTAGTAATAAGTCTTTGTCAATTTGATAGGTGAAAAGTAAAACTTAGTTATTTTAATTTGTTATTTGTTAATTTCTAATGAGATTTGATGTTTAAAAATGTATTTATTAGCTAGTTTGTTAGCTTACTATTAATTTGTTGTGGGTTTGGGGGTGGCTTGAAAGTTTAAATTTTTATTTTAGCAAAATCTGGAAAAAGTTTCTATTTGTTTTTATGTTTTGAAAGCCCTTTACCATCTTGACATCTAGTAAACATTCACCTGTGTTTTCTTCTAGTTTCTTCTAGTTTCACTTTTAATATTTAATTCTAACTAACTGAGAAATTATTTAAGTATATATAATAAGATATATCTAACTCAAATTGTTTTATTCCTTCAAATCTAATTTTCAAAGCACTGTTTATTGAATAATCTATTATTTTCCTGTTTGGCTTTTGATATTTTATTATCATACTCTAAGTAGTTTGTGTAGGTTATCTCATGTGTTTTACCAACTATAATAAGCTTTAAAAACATTCCTAAATAGAATTTGTAGCGGTATATTTTTGGAAATAAATAGTGTCTGTTGTAGCAGACAGATGCTCTCTCACTTCCAATTTAAATATTTTCTTGTGTTTTGGTAAAGATACACTTGGGTGACTGGTAAAGAGCCACTTACATACTATGATATGAACTTGTCAGCTCAGGACCATCAAACCTTTTTCACCTGTGACACAGACTTTTTACGTCCTTCAGACACAGGTACGTTTCATATCTGTTCATGGTGTAAACAGTGATCATGAAAATTATTTTAAAAGTTCTTTAGAGTTATTATAATATACAGAGTTATTTGCATTGTTGATAAGAAACTCAGATTAGGTTGGCCAGTTGCTTGTTGGTTAGAACGTGGTGCTGATAACACAAGATACAGGGTTTGTTCCCTGTACCGGCCAGCTGTCAAAAAAAAAAGGAAACTCAGATTAAATTAAAAGAAATTATGATTATAAACTAGGTTGATATACTCACTTTCATTCTTATAAAAAATTTGAAATATTTTATGCTTCTTTTATTACTTATAAAACAATTCAGATACAGCTTATGCAGAAAATAGTGTACCCTCTTTTGATCTAGGAAATGAATACCTGTGTTTTCTTTTCATGTAGATAAAAAGGCTAAGACAATGCATAAATACTGGGGACTGGTATGTAGAGAAAATGGGGTATATTTTGTTTTATATATAATAAGTTAGAGATGCATACAAAATAGTAGATCATAGTTTAGTTCTCTGTAAGCTCTTCTTTATAGAAGAGAATATTAAGACTCATAAGTGTATGGCATAAGGACAGGAATATTTATCACAACTTTTCTTCTGCTTTGAATGCCCTCATCCTCCTTATCTATCTGATGAATTACTTTTTATCCTTCAATATCCAAATTAAAAGTCACATTCTCTAGGACACCATCTCTGGGATCTCCTGTTGGAACTAAACATTTTCTACTCTGCAGTTATACAGGACTTAGTCCAAACCTCTATAAAGTAATGTTTGTTAATTTATTCAACCCCAAACACTTATTTGTTAATGTTATCACATTTTTTATATTTGTCTTCTCTAACAGGGTATGAAACATTGGAGAGCAGGGTCTATTTTCTCTTCATCTTCAAATCCTATCATCTAGCACATTGCCTGACATACTGTAAATAATAATATTTATTCTTTGATGAAAGTATGAATGAATGAATGACCTAGATGTTACAGATGTCTTAAGTAATTTTACGTACTTAAAATAACAGCTAACACATGTGTAGCACTTACTACATGCCAGGAACTATACTAAACAATTTATAGAAATGTACTAATTTAACCTTCCCAATCACTTTATGAGATAGATACTATTATCAGCCCCATTTTAAAAATAAAGGAACCAAGGCAAAGGATGATCAAGTAACATTCCCTAAGTCACAAGCTAATGAATGATAAAGCTGAGTTTCAAACTCAAGCCTGGCTGTTAACCACTACACTATCACAGCTTCTTCTTACCACATTGATAGGCAGAAGAAAAATTACCAATAAGGGTGTTAAAAATAGACAGTTTCCTGGCATTGAAATGAGTTCATTGTGATATATCTTTGCTGGATAAATAGGTTAAGGGTGGATGGTAGCAGGAAACTCAATGATCTTTGGTATGATTACATCAAATGGTTTAATTGCAAATAAAGGAGAAAAAAATTGCTTTATGGCAAAAGTGTAGGTGTTGGGGAAATAACAGCAGTAGAATATCAGTATTGTATATTAACTTAAGGATTGAGGTGACTCTGGAAATTAGGACTCACCTCCCTCTCCCAGACATAATTGCAAACATTGGCAGGGTTTACAAATAGCAACCATGGCTATCAACTAAAGCTGTGGTCTTAAAACATTTTTTTCAGATATCTCCTAACAGAATTTTGAAAAACTGTGTATCCCTGTGCACATTTTTATGTTGACATCATAAGGTTAAATAATCATTAAGAATGTAATTTTTGACATATTGCAAAACATACACATTTAAAAATGAATATAAAGTGTAGTGTACCTTATATTTAAAATAGTGTAATGTAATCAAATGATTTGATACTCACATTACCCATTGAAAACACATGAACAATGGCTGGTTGGTTAGCTCATCTGGGAGAGTGTGGTGCTGACAACACCAAAGTGAAGGGTTTTGATCCACATATCAGCCAGCCACCAGAAAAAAAAAAAGGAAAATACATGAACAATTGCTCTTTAACTGTAGTCACTTTAGGTGAGTCTTTTCTTCTTGAGCACATATCTATTCTACACCTCTATATAATTTTATTGTAAGGTAATAATTTTATGCTAGTCTTATCACATTTGCATATTTGCCCACAATAAAAAATTTTTTATATCAGTTTTTTTAATTTAAATTTTATTCGACCATAGGTTCTAAATGTTATTATGTGCTTTAATTATATATTTGTCAAATCCTTAGAGCTACATATTTATTTCTTTAAACTTTGGAAAATGTCCTCTATATAACTTAAGTGACTGTGTGAATCCTCATCATTAATTCTTTCAACCAAATCAGACTTACTTTCTGACAGAGAAGTCTGACTTCATTTTTCAGTTCAAATAAATGTGCTAACATATATCCCCATGAGAATCATCTCTCTTCTGAATTCAGATTCTAAGATAGAAAGATGGATACATCTTGGAGCTTTGCCTAGACCATATTACTTGGCCAAAATAAGTCTCCACTTCCTTACAAATGTCCCTTTTGCCCTTTGTTGTGAGGGGACTTTCCCAAAAGAGCAATGTGTTCTTTGATAGTAAATGGGAAGGGGTGTGAATGAAACTGATAAAAATTATCACTCCCTCCACACTCTATACTTGAATTCAGAAATCCAGAACCAGAATATTCTATTTCTAATGCCAACCTCCACTATTAAAATAAATAAGGACTGGTTTTCCTATTATAGGGTGCCTTGATTAAAAATGGCTGCCCAAAACCCAAACTTTGAATGGTCTCTTTGGCAGGTGTAGATTTTTACAGTCTATGGCAATGCACCTTGGAAAGATTCAAGATGGGGAAGAAGTAAGTGTTTCTTCTGTAAAATAGGAGAAGGAACTATATCTTTGGGGGTACGGGGTGGAGGATTGTGTTTAGGTAGGAAAGGAAAATCAGTGTGATGCATAGACCAATCAGAGTAATATTCTTTAAGTAGACCAGTTATAGGAAAGAGTTATATAAAGTTGAAGCTTTAGGCTTATATTCTCTTAAAACCATGCATCCCATTTTGGTCCTTGCAAAGTTTCACGTACTTCTATAGGTATACATAACTCCAGCTAAAGACTGAATTCAAGGACAGTCTCTATCTGTGAATGATAATTCAGAAATGGACTTTTGGTTCCATATTGATCTTTTTCAGACACTCAAATAAAGTAATGATTTACATCAGTAGTTTTATATTCAGAAAAAACAAGGGTGTATGTATGTATGATGTGGCAAATTTCTCTTATTGTCATCAGTAATAACTAAATTAGATTTTGCTGTCATCCAAGGCAGATAAACATATCTATCCTCAAGGGCCAGGATTTCTGTATTTATTTTCATTTTCAACATTTATTTTACATTAAAATCCAGGTTTACGCTTTTTGAAAGTTGGAAAATATGGCAAAATTGGATCTATACTTTTACTTGGCGGTAATAAGTTAGAGTTGAGTTGTGGCTCTCCTTTAGACAGTGCATGTGCTTTTAGTTTACTCATTTATGTTTCCTTCCTGGCCCTTGTAGGCATTTCTGTTTGTGACTCCTGACCTTAGGATAACTCCTGGTCTCTCTTGTGATTGTTAGCATATTAGAATATTATTTAACTTGGAAAATATGTAAATTTGAGTGAATTGCTGACTGCTTCTGTTAACTCTTTTTTAAGCCTATCAAGAACTCTTAAAGAAGACAATTGGATACTAAATCAGCATTTTGTTTTAAATTTTTCTTAATCCTTATTTTAGGAAAAAAATACATATTTTTCTTTCTCTACTTTATTACCCCTTAGGCTTAGGACTGCTGTGGTTATGAAGACTAATCTTGAAAGGCTGGAAAGAGCATTTGAAAATGCAAGAACTGGAAAAAATGCTTAAAGGTGGATTAGATGAGCTCACTAGAAATAAAAAAAATACAAATGAAAATTAGATAGTTTTCATGTATTAAATTAGTAAAGATTGATAACGCTATGTTGGTAAGGAAATAGGGAAATAGCCACTCTCCTACACTGCCTGAAGGTGTAAATTAATACAGTCTTATTGAGAGGAGTTTGGAAATATATGTGCAAAATCTTTTAAAAGATGCGTACATTTTAACCAACTGTTTTACTTCTAGAAAGGAAATATTTGGTCAAATATGCAAAGTAACTACTGAAAAATTGTTATGACAATGTTTTTATATTAGCAAAAAATTGGGCATAACTTAATTATCCATAAAAAGGGAATTGGTTAAATTAATTATAATATGTACTTAATATACTAGAATACTGGGCCGGTCATCTTTAAAAAACACACCACACACACACACACACACACAAGAATACCAAATAACCATTTAAAATTTTTATAAAGATTCAGCATCAAAATTTGACCTGTAAATATCATATAACTTATTAGAAGAGAGCCCCATCACCAAAAATCACAAGTCTAATATTGCACTTTATATAATATTTGACTATTTCAGCAGAATGATGTTCTTTACCTGGTCAGTATCAGATGGATGCTGACTTGTATCATTTTGTCAAGTTCAGGAAGCATTAGCTGTCAGCTAGCTGGTGACATGTTTGATATGAGAAATGTATTTTTTTACACTAGTGGAATATATTGTCTCCCTTTCTAAGCCAAGACTAATATTTTGTTTCTAAAGGAAAACTCAAACATTTTCCACATTATTCTTTCTGAACAGTTGTGGGTTTAGTTCCAAAAGCAACACTCATACGTTCTGTTTTTCTTATCAAACTTGAAATAGGCCAGATAGTTTCATAATTCTACTTTGTTTGTTTGTTTAATTTTAAAGAAACAGTGTGAAATCTTTATTTTGGTACAGTAATGGTAGCAAAACTGATATTGTTATTCCAGAGAAATCCTAACTCAGGCTTTTGTTGAATCCTGGTAGAGGCTGACATTTTCCGGAGTTGTACTATATTCTAAATTAATTCCTTTTTTTTCTATTTTTTGCCCTTTTTATACAACGCAAATCTAGACTTTCTTCCTAGAGTGAATCATTGGTTAGACAAAGACTTTGTTTTTAAGTTTTTGTATATTTTTAGCAGTTGTATAGACCTTTTTCAGAATGATAAAAGTAGAACTGGAATATTTCATATTTATTGTAATCTGATGTCATTCAAACTCAATTTTAACATGCATTTAGGTATATAAATGTTCATGTATAATAATGATGTAATTAACTTGGTTAAGAACCTTATATGTTGTTATTCAAAGAAATCACTGAAATAATATATTTATTTTAAAATAAATATATGAAACTTCCAAATTTATTGTAAATTTCTCCTAAGGTTAATATGAACTAGTAACCCAAATTCTTGTTTCATATGTTTAAGAACATGTTATTTAAAGCTTTGTTTTCTCCCCTAGTTCATTCTTCATACATTTTGCATAAGATTATTTGTTTACCATCTCATCTACTTTTTGAAATATTTTTCCTACAGTTATGCAGAAGGCATGGAGGGAAAGAAATCCTCCAGCTCGAATCAAAGCAGCCTATCAAGCTTTAGAGTTAAACAATGAGTAAGTTTGAAATATGTGGAAAATAAGTTTGTTTTGAAGGAAACCCAGGCGAATGATTTCACGTTTCCTTTTGTCTGTTTCTAAGACACATGGTGTCATTAGCAGTCCCCTTTCCCTTTTTGCATACTAGAAATAAAATTTGCAGTGTTCACCAACAACTGTGTTTTGTTTCTGAAATTGTAAACTTATGTATGCTTTTGAATAGAAATTATGCCAGAACTACTTTTTAAAATGGAGAATGCAAGTGGAGAATGGTGATAATATTTAATAGTTAAAAGGGTATGAAAATACTTATGCCACCTGTTTTAATTTTTTTTACTTAAATCATTCATTTAGTCCTGAAAATTTTAGTTGCTAATGGGCTTGGAGGTATGAGAAAGGGATTCAAAATAAGTAAAACATAGCTCTGCCAACCTTATTTTTTTTCATGTTAACAGCATTTTTTAAATAGTTCTTTATCTCACCTTTATCTGAAGATAATTTGTAAAATCATGTCAACGTAATATTTAATATTAAAGTCTTTGTATATTAAGTCTAAAGTTTAGGTTTCCTCAACTGCAGTTTCTATTAATATCTTTTCTTTAGAAGAGATTAATGAATACTAATCTTGTACAGACTAAATAAATGCTAAGACTAAATATATGGTCCCAGTCAGTGTTAATCAAGGAATGCTTCTGGATGATGTGAATTTATAGTTGTTCCCTGAAATCTCCCCAATAGATATATTATCCTTAGCAAGAAGACCTTCTCATGCTGGGACAAAAATGGCAGAGTAGGAAACTCCAAAAGCAGCAAATAGACTGGCAAAACTGTCAGAATCAACTTTATTGAAACCTTGGGATTAAAAGTTTAAAGTAACTTGGTGAATGCTTAATCAGGGAAACACCACCTGACTTTCTATAAGAGAGCTTTATAGTGTTTTAACTTACCTGACCTCATCCCCCACTCCCTAGCTCAATGGCAGTCTTGAAGACAACAGTGCATATGCCAGGTATAGGTTTCTAGTACCCGAGGAAGCAGAATGTACCTTATTCTCAAAGAACTGTGGAAGACAACAGTGCATATGCCAGGTATAGGTTTCTAGTACCCGAGGAAGCAGAATGTACCTTATTCTCAAAGAACTGTGGTTGTTTATTTTGATCCATCTGCTGGCTCTCTGAAGGACCAGATCAAAGAGCTTGCCTTTATTTTAGCTAGTGGAAAACTCTCCCAGGACTGACATAACTACACTGGGGGACATTTACTGAAAACATTTAAAGGCAAATGCATTAGCTGCTGTTGTCTGGGGTGGGTGACAACAGGTGGGGCAAACAATAGACAAACCAGAAAGCCTATGAGTAAAGGCTGGGGAATGAGACAGTTTGGGGAATATAGGCTTTGAAAAGTTCCCACATATTCCTGGGAATCTCAAAGGCCCCACACCAGAGCTGGGCACATGCTCAGAAAAGAATTGAGATGGCTCTCACATCTGACTAACCTTCACGTTCTGTGCAAGTGGGAACTGAAGGCTAAGGCAGAATTGTAAATGGGTTGGCTGAATGTTGAAGGTGTGCTGCAGCACACATACAGAGCCCATCTACAAAGACTTTTGTTTTTGTGTTTGTTTTTGGTTCCAGGTGTTTAAGGATCACTAAGCTAAAAGAGCACAAACTTCACTGATCATATATGACAAAAAATACAGATTTTATAAAATTGGTTTAGAAAAGTCATTAGATAGACAATTACAATAAGCAGCAACAACAAATCTTAAGGAGTAGAGAAAATCTGATTTCTACAGGGGCCAGAATATAATATTCAGAATTTCCAGTTTTCAACAAAAAAATAACAAGCCATACAAAGAAACAAAGAAATATGGCCCAAACACAAGAAAAAAAGGAGAATAAATAAATAGAAACTGCCCCTGAGGAAACCTAGACTTTGGACTTAATAGACAAAGACTTTGTCAAGTATTTTAAATACGCTCAAAGAGATAAAGGAAACCATGAGAATGATATCTCTCTGCAAGAGAATATCAATAAAGGGAAAGAAATAAAAAAAAAAGAACTAAATGGAAATTCTAGAATTGAAAAGTATAACTGAAATGAAGAATTTACTATAGGAGTTTAGCAGCAGATTTAAAAAGGCAGAAGAAAGAATCAGTGAACTTGATTCAGGTTAATTGAGATTACCCAGTGTGAGGAGCAGGATAAAATAAAGGAATGAAGAAAAATGAACAGGTTCTAAGAGAACTGTGGGACACTACTCAGCATACCAACCTATATACAATGGGAGTCACAGAGAAGAGAGAGAGAGGCAGGCAGAGAGAATATTTGAAGAGGGCCAAAACAAAATACAAGCAAACTGAATCCAGCAGCATATTAAAAGTATTATATACTCTGACCAAGTGGGATTTATTCCTGGAATGCAAGAATGGTTCAACAGATGAAAACTGATCAATGCAATGCACTGCATTAACAGAATGAAGGAAAGATACCATGTGATCATCTCAATATATGCTGAAAAAGCATTTGACAAAATTCAGTACCCTTTTATGATAAAAGTATATGAAAATCATTTAATGTAGTATACCACATCAACAGAACAAAGGATAAGAACCACATGATCATCTCAGTTGATGCAGAAAAAGTATTTAACAAAATTCAATATCATCTTGTGATGAAAACACTAAAAAAACTGGGAATGAAACATCCTCATCCTGATAAAAAGCATCCATGAAAAACCCATAGTTAATTACATATTTAATGATAAGAGACTGAAATCTTTCCCTCTAAGATCAAGAATAAGGCAGGAATATCTGTGTTCGCCACTTCAATTTACATGTTCTGGAGCCAATGCAGTTAGGCAAGAAAAAGAAAAAAAATGGAATCCAACTAGGAAAGGAAGAAAAACTATCTCTATTCATAGATATCGTTATCTTATATGTAGAGAATCTTAACGAATTGACAAAAACGCTATGAGAGCTAATAAAAGAGTTCAATAAAGTTGTAAGAGACAAAATCAACATATAAAAATCAGTTGTATTTCTATACACTAACAATGAACAATCTGAAAAGGAAATTAAGAAAACAATTCCACTTATAATAACATCAGGAAGATTTAAATACTTAGGAATAAATTTAAACAAGGAGATGGAAGACTTGTGGACTGAAAAGCACAAAGCATTGTTGCAATAAGTTAGAGAAGTAAATAAATGGAAGGACATCTTGTGTTCATGGATTGGAAGACTTAATATTGTTAGGATGTCAATACTCTCTGAGGTGATCTACAGATTCAGTGCAATCCCTATAAAAATTCCAATTACCATTTCTGTAGAAATGGACAAGGTGACCCTAAAATTTATATGAAATTGCAGGAGGCTGTAAATAGCCAAAATAATCTTGAAATAGAAGAATAAAGTTGAAGTACTCATACTTTTCAATTTTAAAACTTACTATGAAGCTACAGTAATTAAATCATAAGATCAATGAATTTGTATTGAGAATCCAGAAATAAACCCATACATATATGGTCAATTGATTTTTGACAAGGGTGCCAAGACAGTTAAATGGAGGAAAGAATAGTTTTTTCAACAAATGATGCTGGAACAACTCGATAGCCACATATGAAAGTGTGAGGGCTGGCCTGTTAGCTCACTTCAGTAGAGCATGGTGCTAACACCATGCTCAAGTGTTTGGATCCCTGTAATGAGCAGCTGCCAAAAAAAAAAAAAGCATGAAGTTGGATCCTTACCTTATACCATACATACTATTTAATTCAAAATTAATCAAGGACCTAAATGTAAGAGCTAAACTATAAAACTCTTAGAAGAAAACATAGGCACAAATCTTTATGACCTTGGATTTTGCAGTGGTTTCTTAGGTTTGACACCACAAGCAATGAAAAAAAAAAAATAAATAAGTTAGACTTCATCAAAATTAAAATATTTTTTTCATCAAAGGATGCTGTCAAGAGACAAAAAATAGATTTGTGATTGCCATGGATTAGGGAGGCAAAGGAGAAGATGTGGAGTGACTACTTAGGGGTGTGAGGTTTCTTTTTGGGATGATGAAAATGTTCTGGAATTACATAGTGATGGTGGTTGTACAACCTTGCAAATATATTAAAAGTCTCTGAATTATACACTTTAAAATGTTTTAAACTGAATTTTGAAATATGGATTTTACCACGATTTTAAAAAAAATTTCCCAAAGTAAGAGTCATTAGGTAATTATGTAATTAATTTCTTGTATTAACATCTCCCTGTAAAATACTTTTGGACAATTGCAGGAAAGCTTTAAGGGGGAAAAAAAAACCTCTTATCATATGCCTATACTGTAATTTAAAATTATATTTATATTTTGACTCTACTGCATCAGTTTATACTCATCTAGATCTTTTTTAAAGAATTTTTATTATGGTTATTTAAAAGCATTTGAACTGGTTTTTGGAATGGCAGTCAGGAAGCTTAGATAGTGTTTAAAGCAGCAGTATATCTAATGCTTCAGAGAAATCCAATGTAATGTAATAGAGAAATCTTTGTTGATTAGTGAAATTATTATATACTTTAATTTTGGGTATTATTCAAAGGATGCTGAAATGGTATGATTTGCATTTTCCATATCTGAAAGACACTTCTTGTCCCCAATTGATATGAGCTATCTTGCCATCACTAATGTTTCATGCCTGGCCTTGTACTTTCACCAATAATCTCTCTCTACTTGCTTAGATAAGCACTAGTCAATAGAAATAAAATGTGAACCATATATGTAACTTTAAATTTTCTAGTAGCCATGTGTAAAAGGTAAAAAGAAATGGGTGAAATGAATGTGAATAATATGTTTTATTTAGCTATATTCAAAACATTAAAATATTATTTTAACATATAATTAAAATAAAACTTTTTTTTTTTTTTTTTGTCCTTTTTGAGACCGGCTGCACCACACTCAGCCAGTGAGCGCACCAGCCATCCCTATATAGGATCTGAACCCGTGGCGAGAGCGCTGCTGCGCTCCCAGCGCCGCACTCTCCTGAGTGCGCCACGGGCTCAGCCCAAAATAAAACTATTAATGAGGTATTTTACATTCTTCTAAGTCTTCAAAATTCAGTGGGCATTTTACACTTACATCACTTCTCAATCTGAACTAGCCATATCTCAAGTGCTCAATAACCATATGTGGCTAGTGACTAGAATTCTGGACAGTGCAGGCTTAATCAGAACTTGGACATGTCTCCAGGAGAGATGGATTTGTTATACTGGGAATGGAAGGGAAACTTTTTGTTTCTCTTTTTTGCCCCAAAACAGGAATTAGTTTATCTTATTAGCCAGTTGTTGACTTAAAAGATACAAAGAAAGATCACTATGTTTTAGTAGGATGAAGAAAAGACAACTTGGAGTAAGTATGTGAGAAATGAAAGTAGGAGTGTAGGAGGAAGGACTGGAATTCAGACCAAGGGAAGTTATGCTGCACATTATTGTGGATAAGTCCAAGGGAGGAGGGGCAGCATGCAAAGGAAATACTCAGGTTTGGGAAAAACATCTAGTCCTGGAGTGTAATAACACCACAGTCAAGGGTTTGGATCCCTGTAGCAGCCAACTGCAAAAAAGAAAAACAAAAAAATCTAGTTCTAGAGTATGTTTCTGAGTTAGATGTCAAGGGTGCCTTGTTGGCCGACGGACTCTTCCCAATCTTCATTCTCTCCAATACCTGCCTCCATGAGATATTACAAAGTATATAGTGAATAAGAGCAGGTATGAGCATTACAGTATATAATCCCCTGAACTACTTTTCAGATAGTTCTGTATATGTCTTCTTTTTTAAAGTTTTTAATTTATTTTTTATTGAATCATAATTGATTATACATATTTTGGGGGTTCAACGTTGACGTATGTTGATCAAATCAATATTATTAGCATATATATTATTACAAATCGTACTTATTCTTTATGCCCCTTATCCAATCTCTCCCCGTCTCCCCTCCCCCCCTACCTCTGATAACTCTAGATTTCTTCTCTTTCTGAAAGAGTAACGTTTACTCTGTTGATTTATTGCCCAGATGATCTATCCAGTGCTGAGAGAGGTGTGTTCAGATCCCCCACTATTATTGTAGAGTAGATGTTTCTTCTGTCACTCTGGAATGAGCTTTGTGGAGAGAGACATCCTCTTCTTTTCTTTGGTCTCTGCTGGTGACAATGCACTTGAGTAGCTGGCAGGACATCTGCACGGTGGTTGTCGTGTCTAGCAGCTGTGGCTATTGTGGTGGCTGCGGTCACATGGAAGTGGTGTTTTTGGCATTCTCCCTGCCTGGTTGTGGGAGGATGGGTTGGTCCTCTGCTCCACCTGTTTTTACATTATAGGATGTTGTTGCGGAGCAGTTGGGTGGGAGGAGGAGAGGTGAAGGGCGAAAGAAATAGAGTAGGAGAAGGAGGAAGGAGGGGGGTCGTAGTTGAGGCCCATGGCACCCCCCTCCTTTCTGCAGGGGAGACCAGGGGGGTTCCTGTGGTGGTTTGGTCATTGCTGGGCTGAATGCAGATGTCAGGGAGGGTGTGGCTAAGGTCCGAGGCCCCCCACTCCCTAGCTTGGGAGCCCAGGGCACTTCCTGCAGCAGCTCAGGGGTTGTCACTGGGCTGGTTGTGGGTGTTGGGGGGCATGGCTGAGGCCCCTGGGCCTCCCCACTCCCTGGTTTGGGGTCCCAGGGGACTTCCAGGCCTTGTAGGTTTTATAGGTGTTCTTTGGTGAAGTGAGACCTTTACTAGTTAATATCAAACTTTGTTCTGTGGGTATTTTGTTTTCTCTTTCAATTCTGCATTGGATTATTTGCTGTTTCCACTACTTGAACTCTGCACTGGAACTAATTTGTTATCCTTTGCTTACTTCTAAAATGGGGGAAATTCCTGTGGGGACCAGCACTTGAAATTCTTGTGGGGACCTCACCCTGCGGCTGAGCTAAATTCTGCTCTGTTGCTGATTTTCTGGGGAAGGCTTTCGTGCAGCTCACGTTTTAATGGTTGACTCTGTAGGTATTTCAAATCTCACCTGTGTTATGTGGAAACTCTGGTCTGGGCCTGAGTCTTTTCAGCAAAGTGTACTCCCTGCAGTTCTGTATTCCTGACAAGTGTCTACTGAGTGGTCCTGCATGGATGGGGAGGGTAGATCAGCTGTCCATGCTGTGCCCCAGTGTTACCACTGTAGGCCCATCTCCCCAGGCGCCTGCACTCCAAACACTTCCCATGGGACAGGCAGTGTGCCAGTCCCTTGAGATGACTCACTGGCCTCTGAGTGGCTCATTTTTTAAGTTGTTGTGGCTTCTTGCTCCTATGCGGGTCCACGGGAACCCTGTTAGTGGTCTTGCTGGCTTGAGGCCACCAAGGCCCTCTTCTCCCTTGCCTCTCCACGTAACTTCATAGGAAGGGCACAGCTATGCCTTTTGCCAGCTCTTGCTCCATGTGCTCGCCAGCTCCAGCCTTGAAGAGGCTGGGACTAGAGATGGTGGGAGTGATCCTTTCTTTCTCTCATTGTGGCTTCTCCTGCCTTTGTGCACTCCGTAGGCCTTTCCTCCTCTTCCCCTGAGCTCTAGCTGACCTAGCTTGGCTCTCCTTGCTTTTTTAATAATTGTAAATTGGTTGATTTGTGGGAGAAAGTGATGCTGGGGACTGTCTATTGTGCCATCTTGACCAGAAACCCTCTGTATATTTCTTCTTTTCTTCCTCCTTCCACAAAAAGAAAACACAGGACAAAGGGTCAGAGAATGGAGATAGAAATAAAAATGATAGAAAATAAAGAATTGAGGAGAAAACATGAGAGTGGAAAAATTGTGGAATCAGCCATAAAGAATATACCAAAATGCCCTAATAAGTTAAAGTATTGAAGTGTTCTTTCTTTAATAGATGGGAAGTTAAGTAAGGTCAGGGAAACATGATGTAGAGCAAAGGGACATACCCATGAGAAAATACTTGCTTTACCATTTTATGTAAAATTGCCTTGCTTGCTTTCTTCATAGCTGTGCCACTGCATATGTTCTGTTGGCTGAGGAAGAAGCAACAACTATTATAGATGCTGAAAGGTTATTTAAACAGGCACTCAAGGCAGGAGAAACAATTTATAGGCGGTCACAGCAGTGCCAGCACCAAAGTCCTCAGCATGAAGCTCAACTGAGTAAGTGAATTTGAACTGATTTTTACTGTCTTTTAGCTCCTGTCATTCACTCTTTTATGTTTAAAACTCAAAACAGTAATAATAAAAAGACTTTATACTTAGGGATTAGCTAATTTCTTTCTTTTTTTTTTTTTTGTCTTTTTCCGTGTCCGGCAACGGATCGCAACCCTCAGTGTTGCCCCGTACCGGACTGAGGACCGGCAACGGGATCGCAACCCTCGGTGTTGCCCCCGTGCCTCGCTCAGCCAGTGAGCGGGAACCGGTCTGCATGTGGGATCCGAACCCTCGGGCGGGAGCCCTGCCGTGCTTCCCAAGCGGCGCACTATCCAGTGCGCCACCGGGCCGGCCCCAGGATTAGCTAATTTCATAAGAAATAACTAATCTATTCCTAATACCTACAAGCCAGCAAGACAGGAATATGTATTAGCCCGAGAATGATTGTGCAAGGAAGGAGATCTGCTCTGGCTATTGAGAGGAGAGGAGGTGTGCAGCTCTGAGATTTACCAGTAATTTATTTCATGCAAGAATTGGGCTGGTCTTTGGAGAAACATAACTCAAAAATATTCAAGATTCAGGAGAGCATTCTGGTGATAAGTGGCTATCACCTTTACCTTTATCCTAATCCTGACTCCACACAACAGAATTGCACCATTTGGTTTTTGCTCTTCAGACTATGTATCTGCTACTTGTATAGTGCTAGGGAGTGGCCCCTTTCATATTATCTGATTCTTAACACAAAATCCAACCTCATAAATGGCATTGATTTTTTTTTTTTTTTGGTTGATTTTTCTCCATGATGTGTTTGGGATCAGATGGGCTGTAGCATCTAAGGTCCTTCCTTTCCATACTTAGGGATACTCTCCCAGTAATGATTGAGACACTTTTACCAAAGATGTTAGAATCAGCGATGCTGCTGCTTCCTACTATTTTTGTGACCAGAGGGTTTTAGTTTCATGATTTTGGCAGTTAGTGGACCATAAATTGCAATATGTTTATATAATGCATTATCTGCTAGCAGTTAATTTCTAAATCTTTTGTTTGTAGAAATTAAAATTTGGATAATGTTCTCTGTCTAAGCTAAATATTGATGTATACAGTATATTTCATTAATGCATATTTTTATAACACAACTGTGGGAATATATAATTTTGCAGTCTGGAACTAATGCAATTATATCTGTAAAAAAATAATGATGCCATTTGTCCTTGTGTAATCTCAAATATGGTTATGAGATAGTTACAGAAATATTTGTTAGCACTTTCTAGAAGTAGTTTTTTTTTTTTTTTTTTAAAGATGACCGGTAAGGGGATCTCAACCCTTGGCTTGGTGTTGTCAGCACCATGCTCAGCCAGTGAGCAAACCGGCCATCCCTATATAGGATCTGAACCCGTGGCCTTGGTGTTATCAGCACCGCACTCTACCGAGTGAGCCATGGGACGGCCTTAGAAGTAGTTTTATAGTTTGTTAATTACTAGCTGTTAAGAAAAGTTTACATTAGCTATGGAAATTTTGTTTTGGACTTTTTTTGTTTGAGTTAGAACAATAGAGAATATTAAAATAATATATTGTCTATGCAGAAACTTAAAATAATAGTAGTTATGTCTTCCTATAAATCTACAAGCATGTGTTTCTTTTCTGTTAATATTAAAATGAATTTTTCAATCATACATGAATTGCTTTATATATACTGTACTCAGATTACTTACTATTAGAGGCAAAAGTAATTCGGTATGTATTTTAAGCTTTTGATACAGAAAACTTAAAATATACACAAAAATAGAGAGAACTCTCATTTAATAATTATCACCCAGATTCAATAATCTTTAATATTATTCTATTCTGATACAATTTAATTTTAATTGAATCTTCCAGCATAAGCAAATAAAATTAATGAATAATAAGTTAATGAAATAGCAGGCCATAATACAAATATGATAGAGTGTCACTTTTTGTTTTTCTAAATAGGGAGAGATACCAATGTTCTGGTATATATTAAAAGAAGATTGGCAATGTGTGCAAGAAAATTAGGAAGAATAAGAGAAGCAGTGAAAATAATGAGAGATGTAAGTAAATTTGATAATTGGACTGTTATGTTTATTTCTCCAAAAACTAAAAATGTAGGTTAAGATGCCAGTTATTTTAATGCAGAATTACTGTTCTTTAATTGGAGTTTTTATAACAATATATTCATTTAATATACATACATTTCTTAAGAATTAGGTCTCCACAGGTTTGTTAAGAAACAAGAGAATGTCTACTTTAGTGAATTTGATTTAGTTCTATTGAATTTCTGTTATGATTTTAATCTTTTTCTCCTTTAATATGCAGTTGATGAAAGAATTTCCTCCTCTTACCATGTTGAACATCCATGAAAATCTCTTAGAATCACTTTTAGAATTACAGGCCTATGCAGATGTTCAGGCAGTCCTAGCAAAATATGATGGTGAGTTATATTTGTCTTAGTTGATAGCATAGCTATTTTTTTTCAATTATATAATCATAAATATGGTTCTATTCTAGTATTTCTCTAATTTTCTCTTTCCATTCTTACCAGTAAGTATTTAGTATGCATAGGATACAAGTTGTTATTAAGTATCTTCTTTATCAGGACTTTTGTTAGATTTATTAATTTCTTTATTGAGTTTCTAATACGAGTGACTGCTCAAAATACAATGGTGAACAAGAAGTCATTGACTTAGCCCTCATAGGATTTACAGTTTAGTGAAACATACAGACAAATGAACAGCTGTTATATTGAAGACAGCCTATTAGGTGAGATCATTGGAAAAACGAGTGCTGTACATGTAGGAGGGTACCTCATTTGTTTTGGAGTATCAAAGAAAGCTAACAGAAATTGCTCAGCAGTATGTATAAGAGTAATTCAGAATACCATTTTTGCAGTGCTCTTTAGTTACAAAGTAGGACAAGTGTTTTTACTGTTTCTAGTTACTAAATAAGGAAACCAGAGTTCAAGAAAGCTTAAGTATTAGGTAAAGTCTCCCAGCCAGTAGGTAGCAAGCCTGAACTTAAATTCAGGTATTAGTATTACATTCCTTGTTCACTAGTCTTCCCACAGTAACAATTCAATATATTTTGGCTATTTTTATTATTATACTATTAACAATGCCAGTTTACCACAAATGGAGTTGGGAGAATTTTAAAGATCTATGGCTTTTCTCTCCATTCTGAGTGAGGCATCAGCTTTTAACCCCAAGCTTCCTAATTAGAATAATGTTTCTGGTTATATCTTTCACTATAACAGAACACATATAAGTCACTCATTCATACTTGTCCTCTTGTAGGTTTCTACCCATTAGCTTGGGAGTCCTCATGACTTGGAAAGTTTGAAATGTGTTATCCTTGCAAAGAGTTTTTTTTTTTTTTTAAAACATCAGGAATTTTTATGAAGTGCTTCAGAATCGTGTAGGCTCATGGAGAAATTTGTGAGAAATTCTTTCCATATGTAACTTAACAAATGTATGGCCTATTTGTGGTGCTTAAGTTGAACAAGCTTAGGGACTGAGTATAAAAAATCAGAATAGGACCTGATTCATTAAAAATAAGACAAAACTAACTAAAACTAATAAAGCATATCTAAGTTGATATACTTCTGCATTTTCAGTTATTTTCATGAGTGCCAAGTTTTTACCATTCTAGGATCCTGAGGAAGTTGAAAGCAAATTTACTTTGTTAGTTCTTCATTTGCTAGTAAGACTCTAGAATTGAGAACATCAAGAGAATTCTTCATCTTTACTCTTCTGATAGTATTATTTTGGGCATTCTTTTAAGTAGGATTTATATAATTAATTTACTCATAGTTCCAGGTTAATTTTTTTGTACTTTACAAAAAAATAATCATTTAAGACAAGGTAGAAAATCAAAAACTTAGAAAGAAGAAAAAATAAAAATCATCCTTGCTAGTATCAACCTGAATTTAACTACTGTTAAACATTTAAATTTTTTTCTAATCTTAGTTTTTCTCTATGAATAGGTGGAGTTTGTACATATTTCCCATTATACTGTGCCTTTTTCCCTGAATACTATTATTTTAAGCAGATTATTATAAATATTTGTTGATCATTTTTCACCATTATACAGAGGGCTTTCGTGGACATAATTTAATTTTTTGCTGGAAAAGTACCATTCTTTATTTTGAGAATAGAAAACAAAGATTAAAGAAGTTACTACTAAGTCAAGGATGCATAGCTAGTAAATAGCAGAATCAAGATTCAAACTCCGGTCTTCAAATTACATGTCCAGGTGTTTTTACCACTATTTTACATCTGTTGAAATTTGCACGATGAACTAATTACTCTTATTAAAAATTTTGTCTTGATATGTTTTTTGTAATTCTTACCTAAATTTAAAATTATCATTGCAGATATAAGCCTTCCAAAGTCAGCAGCAATTTGTTATACAGCAGCACTGTTGAAGACAAGGACTGTTTCAGATAAGTAAGTAGAAATGAAAACTACAATAATTTGGAAAGACTGCTAAACTCAATGTTATGTTTTTCCTCTACTGACTTTAAACAGTGCTCTTTTTCCTCCCTACTTTCTTCTGAATAACCCTTGATCTTCTGGGGCTTTGAGGCTTTTTACTATGTGTAGTGGAAAGAGCAAGACTTTTAGAGCTGAGTAAACCTGGACTCAAATTCAAACTTGGCCACATTCTAGCTGTAGGACTTAGGGCAAGTTAATAATTTTGAGTCTCTTCCTCGTCTGTAAAATGAGAATAATAACACCAGAGAGTGGTTGTGTGAGGGTTATGTGTAAATGCCTAAAGCAATGTCTAGAAAGAAAGTACACACAATAAATAGGAACTATGATGATAATGATAAGGCATATAGGGAAATAGGTTTCATATTATCTTTTCTTAGATTATAATTCTGAATTATTCTGCTTTCCTCATATTTTTGGCTGCCTTTAATGAATTCTCTTTGTTCTGCAGATAAGATATTCAGAAACCAACCAAATGGTGAACATTTTCTTTCACCTTAGATTAATATGCCTTGATACTTCTATTTCATGGGATTCTCTGGATGTGCCTTGTAGCATTTATTACTTTATTACCTTTCCCAAAGTGTGCCTTCCAATGGACTTCTCCTGAAGGCTTTCTTTACCTAAGTTTGAAGATTTCCATTCCGTATGCTGCCTTTTTTATATGTTGAACCAGAAGGCTTTATTTCATTTTTAGTAGTCATCTGCTTTTGTCTTTGGCCATCAATAGAAACCTCTTTGATTTGGGGAGCTGTATTATGATGTAAATACATATATTTTTTTCTTTTTTTGGTATATTCATTTCTTCATTTTGTGGTTTTTTTATAGATTCTCTCCAGAAACAGCCTCCAGAAGAGGGTTAAGCACAGCAGAAATTAATGCTGTGGAAGCAATCCATAGAGCTGTGGAATTTAATCCTCATGTTCCAAAAGTGAGAAATTTTATGATGAAAGACTACTTTTATTTAAGTTTATCAATTGATGACAGTGTATAGACAAAGTTTGGGTTGCCATAATTTGGGTCAGAATTGTTTTAGTCTACTATAGTTTGATGTTTATTATACACCTTAAAGGGGATATTAAAAGGCATTTAGAAAGGTGGGTAGGAGCAATAATAGTTCACTATAGGCTTTGTAATTACTGTCACAATAAAATTTGAACTGTGTTCATTTAGCTATTCCTTTGCTATAGTTATAAAGAAGAAATAATCAAATGGCTTGGTTTTAATAAAAGGTCATTCATATTTAAGATCACTATATCAAATTTCCTGTTACTGTAAAAGCTTTTTCTAAACAGATGCCTGGGTTTTTAAGTGGGGCTGGGTAGACAAAAACTGAAGACAAATAGATTAAAATAATCAGTGGTAGGAAACAGATGTGGAAGTTCCCAGAAAAACTGCTGACTTGATGTTTATTTAGTCCCAGATGAAACTATATACGTTTTGTTTGTCTTTATATTCTATACCTTGCAGTCATACAAATTATTGGTTAATCTATGTGTGTTATCACCCAAGTTAAATTTTGGGTTTTACAAGCAATAACTTATGTTAGGAAGTACAGAATATTCAAGAATAGGTGTCATTACTAGAAAATGTAATTGTAGCTATTGATTCCAGTATAGTATGTGTTAATGGAACTTGGAAGCTAGTAGACAGTAAAGAGATTAATCTCTAAAAGATAACCTCCAAGAAGAGGAAGCTGTGAGCCTGTTAGAGTAAATAAAAATATGGTTAAGAAAATTACTGAAGTCCAAGAATGAGAGTTAACAAATATTTATATTATTCTCTCATTAAGTGATACTGGTCCCACAAATTTAAATGTAGTAGTCCCTCCCTTATCTGTGATTTTGCTTTCCATGCTTTTAGTTACCCAAGGTCAACCATGGTATGAAAATATTAAATGGAAAATTCCAGAAATAAACAATTCATAAGCTGAACAGCCTGATGAAATCTTGTGCTGTCCTGCCCCGTTCCTCCCAGAATATGAATTATCCCTTTGTCCAGTGTATCCATGTATATGCTACCTGCCCATTAGTCTCTTAGTAGCCATTTCAATTGTCAGATCTACTGTTGCAGTATTGCAGTGCTTATGTCCAAGTAACCCTTCTTTTACTTAGTAATAGCCCTAAAGTGAAATAGTAGAGATGCTAACATATCATTATAATTGTTCTATTTTATTATTAGTTATTGTCGTTAATTTCTTACTGTGCCTAATTTATAAATTGAACTTTATCATAGGTATATATGAATAGGAAAATAGTATATACTAGGGTACTTCCAAAAGTTCATGGAAAAATAGAATTAAAAAGTAATAGACCAGTCTGCTCACTGGTTGAGCGCGGTGTGGGCGCGACACCGAGGGTTGTGATCCCGTTGCCGGTCGCGGTACGGGCGCGCGACACCAAGGGTTGCGATCCCGTTACCAGTCACAAAAAAAGACAAAAAGAAAAAAAAAAAGTAATATGATTCTTTTCATAAACTTTTTTTTTTTTTTTGTCTGTTTTCGTGTCCGGCAACGGATCGCAACCCTCAGTGTTGCGCCCGTACCAGACTGGGACCGGCAACGGGATCGCAAACCTCGGTGCTGCGCCCGCACCTCGCTCAGCCAGTGAGCGGGAACCGGTCTGTATGTGGGATCCGAACCCTCGGCGGGAGCGCCACCGCGCTCTCAAGCGGCGCACTGTAGCAGTGCGCCACCGGGCCGGCCCATTGAAGTATGCTCATATAGGGTTTGGTCAGGCCTCCAGTGAGTGTTTTGGAACATATCCCCTGCTGATAAGGTGGGACTACTGTAAAATTTTTATTATGAATTATAATACACGTGCAGCAAAGTGTACAAAAGAGAAATGTGCATCTTAATGATTTTTTATAAAGCAAATGCTTAAAAACTACCACTGAGGTCAAGAAACAACATCGTAAACCTCCAGAAGCCCACCTGACTGCCCTTTCCCAATTATAGCCTCTTCCCTCCTACCTAAAGGTAACCACTGTTCTGACATTAATTATATTCACTTTTCCTTCTTTTCTTTATGGTCTATATTTTTCCTTTATTGCTGGCTCTATAAATGTGTTGAAGAGTGGTCCTTTTTTATTCTCTGGAATAATTTGTATAAATTTAGAATTATTTCGACCTTAAATCATTAGTAGAATTTGCTGGTAAAGCCATCTGATTTGGAGTTTTCTTTGTGAGAAGGATTTGAGCAGCAAATTTTATTTCTTTAGTTTAATGGTTTAATTAAAAATTCAATTTTTAAAAACTATCATAACTATTAACATATTTTGTTTTTTCTTGTGTTGGTTTGTGGTAAGTTGTATTTTTCTAAGAATTTCTTTCTTTTTTTTTTTTTTTGACCGGGGACCGGCAACGGGATCGCAAACCTCGGTGTTGCTCCCGCGCCTCGCTCAGCCAGTGAGCGGGAACCGGTCTGTATATGGGATCCGAACCCTCGGACGGGAGCGCTGCCGCGCTTCCCAAGTGGCGCACTATCCAGTGCGCCACCGGGCCGGCCCCCCTAAGAATTTATTTCATCAAAATTTTCAAATTTATTTGCATGAAATTTTCATAAAACCCTTTTATTACCTTGTTAATATTTTCAGTGTCAGTTGCAATATCCATTTTTTAATTCCTAACATTAGCTACCTTTTTTTTTTTTTTTTTTTTAGATTCCTAAGGGATCTATCAATATTGTTAGTCTTTGCAAAGAACCAAACTCTGGCTTTGTCGACCTTTTCTACTATTTGTTTTCTAGTTCATTTATTTCTGCTCTTTATTGCCTTCCTTCAACTTCCTTTTTTTTTTTTTTTTTACTAGTTTTTATTTCCTGTATCTTCTCACATAGGTAATTAACACCTTAATTTTTAGCCTTCCTTCTTTCTAATATATCCAGTTATGTCTAGAAATTTCTCTCTAAGCATAATTTTAACTGCATACTATAGCAATATTTTCTGTATAATTTAGTTCAAAATATTTTCTAATTTTCATTATGGTTTTCTCTTTGATTTATATTTATTCCATCTGAAGGTATATTTCTTAATTTCAAATACATGAAGATTATTTTTTTATTGATGATTTCTAACATAGTTGCACAGTGGTCAGATAATGTACCTCTATATGGTTTTACTTGAAACATTTTTCAATTCTTGAATTTCTATTTATTTTTCACATCTCTTGTGTTTTCTGTTGTTTCTAATTCTCTGCCAAAATTGTAAATGTAGTTTTTGATCTCTTTGGAAATAGTTAAATCTTAGAGTCTTTCTCTAATAACTCTAATATCTGGAACTTCTGTGTATCTGTTTCTGTTATCTGTTTTTTCTGTTGTACCATGTTCATGTTGTCTTGTTTTCTCTTGTACCTGATTTTCTTTAACTGTGTCCCAGATATTTTGTTTGAAAAATTGTAAAGATGGCTGGATAATATTTTCTTTCTCCAAATGGGATTTTTTTGCTCTTAGATGCTTGGAAGAAGTACTAGCAGGCCAAGATCACCTTAATCCAGTCTCAGGGATTAATATTCTTTGGATTATTCAGATGACTTGAAACTGGGCTACAGTTCATGAAAGTTTTGGTTTATTTCTGATTTACCCTTATTCCTAGGATGTAGCCTTTCAGGGTCCCCATTCAATCCTGGGGGTTTTTACAAGGATTCTTGCACTCTTGCCTTGTTTCCCTGGCTTTATAAAACTGGCAGAAAGGCTGAACAGCCTCTTAGCTATCTCATCCAGAATTGACAAATCCCCCTGCAGTATGAGAACCCCCAAATGTGGCTTACTTCTCTGGATTTCTGTCTTTGGACTATGGCCTAGTAATTCTTTAACCTTTGTTAATTCTTTGATGTATTCAGTTAGATTTTAAACAATATTTTGCCCAGCTTTTTTAGTTTGTAGGAGGGTTGATCAGAATTCCCAGGCTCCCATTACTGGAAGCACTGTAAGTACTTTTAAATGAAATCCACTGCTCTCTCCTACTGCAGAGTGGTTAGGAAAATGGATTCTGCAACCAAACTGCCAGGGTCTGAATTCTGGCTCCACTATTTCCTAGTCAATTTATTTAACTTATTTGGACTTGGGTTGCCTCGTGTCTAAAATGAAGATAATATTCCCTACTTCATAGAATTGTTATGATGATTAAAAGAGTTCATATCTTTGAAGTACTTGAAAGAATACCTGACACATAGTAAGCATTACAGAGTGATTGTTATTACCGTTATTATCCAGGATAGGAGGGTAAGTTCCTTACATGACTAGATAAGCAGCAGTTATTGATCAGAACTATTCAAACTAAATATACAATTAAGATGGCTAAAATTTTTTATTTAATTCCCACTCAAAATAGCAAAATATAGACTATCTGTTCCCTATGGTTGTGTACTTATTTTTGCTTTGAAAACTATCTCATTCAAAACATTTTCTCAGTTGTAACAATTTTGATGATGTGTATTGGTTTTCAAAACTACTGTTGGGGGCACAGAGGTACAGGCAATTCTAGGCATTATCCTAATTATAAAAATAAATTGTTGGATAGGTAATATATCCAGATTGAATCCACTCTAGAAAATCTGTAATGCTTTTAGGGATACTTTTTTCCAGTTTAAAAACACACACACTGAAACACTGCAAAAGCAATTCTGAGAGGCATTAAAGAAAACCTGAACAAATAGAGATGTATTCGATGTTTATGGATTGGAAGACTCAGTGTTGTTAAGATCACAATTCTCTCCAAATCAATCTATAGATTCAATGTAATTCCTATCAAAATTCCAGCAGGCTTGTTTGTTGAAACTGACAAGCTCATCCTAAAATTTATGTGGAAATGGCTTAGATGGTTAGAGCACAATGTTACAACACCAAAGTCAAGGGTTCCAATCCCTGTACAGACCAGCCCCAGAAAAAAAAAATTATGTGGAAATGCAAAGGACCTAGAATAGCCAAAACAATT